GAATCTATGTAAATAGGAAAGGGTGGAGGGGGTGAAGGGCGCACGGGTATGGGGGAAAAAATAAGAACCAAGATACATCATGTACAGTTACAAGCACCCAATGATAAATGTAAACATATTGTATACCTAAAATGTACCAATAAAAGAATTAAAAAGAAAAAAAAACAGGTAGAGAGAGAGAAAAAAAGAGAGTAAATGAAGTTTGTGTAACACTGTAAACATTTGCTTCTCAAATCTGATAGCTCCATTTAACAGGGGAATTCATGGAGATATGACTGTTTAATTCAAAGTGATGATAGCATTTTTGATAGAAATTTACATACATTACAACACTTAACCTTCACAATATCCCTGTGATATAAGCATAACTACTTTTAACTTATAAACACACACACAAAAGCTTAAAAAGTAACTCACCTAAGTTTACAAGTTCGATGCTGGATCCAGTTTTCAGAAACAGGTTTATTTAACTCTAGTGGCCATGTTTACATTCATCAAGTAAGGACATGATTCTGGCCTGGATTTTTCAGATGACTTTCAGACCACAAATAGATTGCTATCTATCTATGCCTAATGACCTTCCTAACAAATGGTAAACTATGCTCAGTATACCAAACATGGGAAAATTTCTCAAAGTGAACTTATGATTATGAGATCACTGGACCAATTTTCATTTGAGTCCCAAGATTTTCAATATTATTTATAGTCCTTTATTGGGTGTTTTATTGCATGATGAAATTCCATGAAGTTCTAGCTGAAACTTATTATATATCATTAGAAGCATTTGAACATTCACTTAATTCATTCATCAATTATTTATTGAAATTTATTACACCAATTCTACCCTAGACATTGGTGACGTAATATACAATGATCATCATGACCCCTACCTTTAGGGCACTTAAGAGTTTAGTGGAGAACTGCATGTAAGGAAGAAAAAGGCTCCAAACAATGGAATAAGTGCCAGGATAGAGGTGGAAGAGCAAAGGAGAATGAAGAAAGCAGAGGAACTGAGGCCCAGAAAATTGAGGACAATAGAAGAGAGGTAGAAAGAAGATTCCAGGCAGAGGAATCTTCTCCAAGGTGGAGAAGTGGACAGATACCTGAGAAAGATCAGCAGATGTTTGATGTGAGACAGTGGAGAAAGACAGAGAACAGATTGGTGAGAGCCTTTAAGCCCAACAGAAGAATTTGGGCCTCATTGTAAAGGTAAATATGATAAACTGATTAGTGAAAGAAAGACATATGGTGACAAGTATTTCAGGTATGTCATCACAAACAACCACATGGACAGAAGCCTTCCGACACTAAGAGACCAATGGGGTGGAGTCAGCCCTCAAGAGGGGGAGAAGGGGTTGTCTGATTGAGGGTCCAAATGGGGGCGACATGAAAAATGGAAAAACCTGTAAAATATAGATAAGCCAGAGAATTTTGAGATACTTGATGGAAGGAAGGACTTAACGGGGACTTGGAGGAATGGCTCAGTTTTCTGCCAACTGAATTAAAACACCATTTGTGAGATACAAGAGAATAAAGAATGCCTACAGGAAGGGAGAGAACATGAGAACATCTGATAACTCAGAAGAAATTAAATTAGCTTGAATTCTTAAATCCAGGTAGTTTGGCTTGCAGTTGGAGAAAAATGAAGTCTGTTTTACATAAAATACTGTGACGAAAGGGAGCATGATGTGACCAGCAGCCATGAGGCCAGTGCCACGTCGCTGAGAATCCAGGTGCAGTTAAAAACGAAGAACCAGCACTGGCTACGTCTGACTCACTGTGCCACCTCCACCACAGCGGCTCAGCTGTCCAGGCTCTGAGGCGTGCAGAGGAACAACAAGTGGTCCAGGCCTAGCACTGTGTTGATGAGTAAAAACAGTCTATGGGGCAGGGGAGATGGAAAATGAGGACTGAGAGGTGCTTAGGGCTCATTGTTTGAAAAACATGTAACTGCTCTGAAGAATGAGGACCAGCTTCTCAGCCCAGCTGCGCCTCATGTCACCTGAGGAGCCTAAGGATGTCCTGATCCTTGGTCCCC